TCTCAACCATGTTTATGTCGGTAATCACCGCCACAAAAGGTTCTTCGGTAACGTTTGCCTGAGGGTTAGGACCACGTTTCCGGAATCTGCAAAATCGAGCAATATGCCCACTCTTGCCACAAACAAAGCACGGTCCTTTGTCTTGAACTTGTTGATTTTGTGCTTGGTTATTTTCACCATTATTTTTCTTGGGAGGTCTACCATTATTTTTCTTGAACTTTTTCTTCTTAGGCTTCAAAGAAGTATTTTTGTGAGTTTCAGGAGTAGCATTGTTTGAAGTAATTAAATTTACCTTCGTTGTGATGTTGTTCTCTTCTGTTTGTAAAAGTGCATCTTGGCCTCTTGCCTCTTCTTCCATGCGGATTTTCATTATCAAGGTTTCAAGGGAGGTTTCCTTTTGTTTGTGGCGCATAGTTTTTTTGAAATTCCTTCCAAGAAGGTGGAAGTTTATCCACTATGCCACAAACAATAAGGTTATCTCCAATTTTAACCTCCTCGGACGTAAGCTCTCCAACAATCATTATAAAGTCTTGAGCTTGGTCTACCACTGATTTGTTGTCCACCATTTGGAAACGAAAAAATCTACTAGCCGCATATTTTTTCGCTCCAGCCTCTTCGGTATCATACTTACTCTGCAATGCTTTCCAAATTTTCTTTGCACTAGAGTAAGTTCTATCATAATAATCATAAAAATTATCAGATAGACAATTGAGAAGATAATACCGACATTTATAGGAATCACCAGTGTACTTTTCCACTTTCTCATGATGAGAAATAAGTTCATCATCCTCCGGAGGAATCATCAACTTTATTAGGATTCTTCTCAATTAACACATAAGAAACATTGAGAAGACTCAAGTAGAAAAGTACTTTACCCTTCCATCTCTTAAAATGGTTACCATTGAACCGAAATGGCTTGTTAAGGTCTCCCATCTTGACATCCACGGTTTTTTCAATTGTAGCCATATTGAATCTCCTTAAAATTGTTAGTGAAAAACTTACAAGATACAAAAATACAAGATTACAATTGAATAAAATGAAGAACAAAATCTTCAGGCTGAGGCGCGGATATCTCGCTCTCTTTAAGGAGATTCAAGCCCTCTGCAACAAATGTTTTCACCGGTCCAGCAGTAGTCCTCTTGACTTGTCCCCTCCAGGATACAATAGCCTTCACAATGTATAACTCTACAACTCTGGACAAGAGTTGAGTCCAAAGCTCCACAAAAAAGAACACCTGTCTTCAACTAATAAGAACTCTCTTTTTAACAAACTTTTTCCTCTCTATCTTTTTCTTATATGTTGTTTTCCAAACCAAATGAAAACCACCACTATTTATACTAAGAGAAATCTTCCTAGAAATAAATAGGAAGATAATTGAGTGGCAAATAGTGAAGATAAATGGTCTTATGAGTTACATAGGTTACAAGGTATAATGGAAAAAGAATAATGGAAAAGTAATGGCAAAGGCCACCAACGGCTAAGAGCTAACTTCAAGAATTGGAATTGTAACATAACAGACAGTAACTCCAAATGGAGTAAAGCAGCACTAAGTGCCACCAACGGCCAAAAGCCATTACTCCCCACGTTCTGCAAATGAAAGTCAACAAACGTATGCAAAGGTAGGAATGTAACTGCCCACTTACTGCTGAAATAATTGACATTCTTCTAACTCCAAAATAAAGCAAATTAATATATTAAAATATTAATATTAAAATGCTAACAAACCAACAGAACTTGACATTGATTAACATTTCTAATTAATGCTTTATATATTGCTTTTGTCTCTGCAATTTGCCTAACACATTTGATTCACAAACAAACAGGTTCCAAAAGAAAAGCGAAAAATAAAGAGAGAAAGACAGAGATGTCATAAGATATATAGATAAAGTGATCATAGCATTATATATTAAACTTTGTCTAAGAAAGCTCTCATAAAATGATTCTTCAATACATAAATAAAGGATGTGCTAGATTAATGATGTCCACGATTCTTCATTACATAAATAAAGGATGTGCTAGTCAGCTAGATTAATGATTTCCAGGGAGTAGTGTGCCAGAAAGGAAGTGAGAAATAAGGGAAAGGGCTCTAGCAGGTTGGAAGCTTGGAACTTCATGTCCCGCGCCTCTTACTGTTGCAAATGTTAGACCTCCTTTATATGTTTCAACATATCCTCCAATCTGCAACATAAATATCCAAACAAAATTGTTAATTTCATTTCATTGAGAAATCAATGAAATATAGAATCAAGTTTTATGGTGAGAAGCAATAGTTGTTTGATGAGCAATGTTTGTATTTTTACGATTTTACCTCTCCTCCAGATAGCCAAGAGCGCCATGGTTGATCAACTATAAGGTTCATTACTTTTATAGATTTCTTCGTAGATGTTACAGGAACTGATCCATCTATATCACCACTGTATATACAAATATTTTGTGGTCAAGACCTCGATGATCAAAATGTTAAAAAGGTACTAGTATAATGGGGAATAAAATTACCTGAAAATCCAAACTCGAACACCGTTTTCCAAAGACTCTGTGAGGAGAGGAATTGTAGTTGCCGGGCTGTCTTTCCAGTTGTAAAAGAGTGGATCACTGAAATAGAAAAAGAATTATGAGCATTGAATAAAAATGTTGAGGATTTGTGTGCATTTAACTGTTTGTATTTGCTGATGGGATTAAGGTGTTGGAGTTGCTAATAACCTGCAAGATTCCCAATCATATTTGATGTTCGTAACATTGGCATGGAGTGCATCTTGAACATCCCGCCTGTTCAGATAAGCATGAACGTACTGGTCGGAGCAGGGCTCAAACACTAATGGCTGCATCAAAATAGCTCATTAACTCAAATCTATGTTTCTTTTATACGGGATAGAATGTGGATATTGGTAATAATAAGGGAAAATGCAGAGTTGTCCCACTTACTGATGGTACTTTTGGGTATTTCGTGAGATTTCCATCCTTGCAAAGGGGGGAATAAATGTTGTAAATATGGATATGATTCAAATTGTTGTTTGAAACTGCAACTGCCTCATTACAGTTGCTCTTATTGTAGTGATTGTCAAAACAATATTTCTTGATGTCAAGGAATGTTTCATCTGAAATGAGCGCATGAGATGCATAGTATTCGTACGTTCCTATGATGTCTGTGTCATCATTAATCACTGCATTCCCAATCTGGAATTTGTAGATACAACAATTTAACATTGTTAGTGTAATTTAACATGTTGTAACAGACCGGTTAAATTAGAGATTACTTACAATTATTCCTTTGAGATTGATAAGAGTCTTGTTTGATAGCTTGTTATGCTGAAGAATTGTATGTGCCAATTGAGGAACATAATGTCCAGCATAACTCTCACCAGAAATGTAAAAATCTCTGTTCTTATACTCAGGAAATCTCTCGAGCCAATTGAGTAAAAACACAACATTATCATTAACAGTTCTACTATCTCCAGTTTTATTGAGGTCACTGCTTGTATTTGTATATGAAAATCCTACTCCAGCAGGAGTCTCCAAAAACAACACATTGGCTACTATAATTCAATAGGAGAAAATTAGTATTCCGAGTTGAGAATTGTTCATTCAAACATTAATAGGAAATTATGTTACACAAAAAAGAGAACTTTCTTTTTACCAAGATTCCACGCATAATGATTCCTATGTAACGTTTTCCCATCACTATTAGCTCTAAATGGACCAAGCTCCTCCATGGCCCCATATGCAATAGATGAACATCCAGGACCTGCAGTATGGTTTCATAATCAGAACTAAATTTTGAAGTGTTTCTGTATATTTTTCAGATCTCTTATGTGGTAAAATGAAAATCTGTCATAAAAAAAACCATAAAACTTTACAAAGATTAGGGTGGACTAATTGTAGTATTCCTTTTCCCATTTATGATCAAACACAAGAAAATAACAAAAGGTTTATATCAAAACTATATAGATCCAGAAGAAAATCCCTTTTTCTGATCTTTATGTGTTAAAATAAAAATCTAAAAACCATAAAATTTTAGAAATAGTCAGGTGAAGTAATGTAGAGTCCTATCCCCTTTTTTTTTTTTATATCAAACACAAGAAAATAACTTTCAAACAGGATGCTAAAAAAATATAGACAATTGCTGTTTGTACATACCTCCATTAAGCCAGAGAAGCAAAGGCAGTGACTTGGAATTCTCAGCTTCAGTGAAGTAATAGTATAAAGCACGGCCAGCAGATTCATCAACAGTAACATAGCCACCATATTGTTGGAACTTTACTGGTGGTTGGCCAGGCAGTTTCTTGATCCAATCTTTTTCTTTTAATCCCTCCTGTGGAAGAATAACTTTGTCCAATTCTACATTTTCAACGGCTGCCGCCTCATAGTAACTGTTGCCAAAGGCTGAATCCTGCTTAGCCTTGTAAAAATTTCCAAGAACTTCACTTTGCTTCTTTCCAAGGCTTGAAGCAATAAAGTTGGAGAAAAAGAAGGCAAAAAGAAGGAAGTAGGAAGTGAATTTTCCCATTGTTGTGTGTGTGTGTTGTGTTGAAAAGTTAAGTGAGATGAGTGGTATTTATCATGAAACTGTGGAATAGATTCCTGGAATTTAATAATTTTACTATTATAATTATCAGAATTTGGCACTATTTTATATTGGTATGTCAATCAAATTCAAAAGTGTTCTAATAAAATAATAATATGAATGAATATTTCAATGATATTATGAGAATCTTATAATTTATACTCCTTATAAGAGGTTAAAGATTTTCTTGTTAAGATGAATTATTTTGCCTTTTTTTTAGTGACACCAGAATAGACAGAACAGAGGGACTTTTTTTAGCTTCTATGCCTTTTGCCATCCATTGTCAATTGAAAGACAGCTATAGAAATACAAAGAACGCATTACTTGAAAATTTCAATGGCATTTACAAATTAATTGAAAATGACTAATTCTCGGAATATGCTAGTTGCACTTATGCTAAACATTTTGGCAATGTTTAGCTTGACAATAATCATTACTGGGCAGTTTACCTAACATGTTTGATTCACATACGAACATGTTTCAAAAGAAAAGCAAAAAATAAAAAGAGAAAGACAGAGAGGGATGACATAAATTAAACTAGCTCAAGTAATCAATCGCGTTTATATTAATCTTTTTCTAAGAAAGTTCGTAAAATGATTCTTAATTACACAAATTAAGGATGTGCTAGATTAATGATCTCCAGGGGGTAACGTTCCAGAAAGGAAGTGAGAAATAAGGGATAAGGCTCTAGTAGGCTGATAACTTGGAACTTCATGTCCCGCGCCTCTTACTGTTGCAAATGTTAGACCTCCTTTATATGTCTCAACATATCCTCCAACCTGCAACATAGATATCCAACAAACATTGAGAAATATTGAATCAAAAGTCGTTTGACGAGCATATTTTGTTTTTTTTTACCTCTCCTCCATTCAACCAAGAACGCCAAGGTTGATCAACTGTAAGGTTCATTGCTTGTATAGATCTCTTTGAAGAAGTAACAGGGACCCTTCCGTCTGTATCACCACTACATTTAATTTCCAAGTACAAATATACGTTAAAATTTTTGTGATAAGATGATCAGAAGGAAAAAAATAGTATAATGAGGGGGAAAATTACCTAAATATCCACACGCGAACTCCATTTGCCAATGACTCTTTGAGGAGAGGAATTATAGTGACTGGGCTGTCTTTCCAGTCGTAAAAGAGTGAATCGCTGAAATAGAAAAGAATTATAAGCAGTGAAGGATAATGAAAATTGTAAATCAAACAAGTAGTAACGCATTTGTATGAATTTAAGTATTTGAATATGGGATAATAAACCTGCAAGATGTCCAATCATATTTGAGGTTGGTAACGTTGGCATGGAGTGCATCTTGAACATTGCGCCTGTTCATGTAAGCATAAATATACTTGTCGGAGCAGGGGTCAATCTGCAATGGCTGCATCAAAAATCACTCATTAACGTAAACTCAATGTTTTCACATTATCTTATACGAGATAGAATGTGGATATTTGTAAAAGTACAAGCAAAAATGCAGAGTTGTCCCACTTACTGTCGGTGTTTTTGGGTATTTCGTTAGATTTCCATCCTTGCAAAGGGGATAATAAATGTTGTAAATGTCGAGATTGTTCAAATTTTTGTTTGTAATCTCAGCTGCCTCATCGCACTTTCTCTGATTGTAGTTATCATCATAACAACTATTCAGGATGTCATGGTACGTTTCATCTGAAATTAGGGCATGAGATGCAAAGTATTCATACATTCCAATTGTGTCTGTGTCATCATTAATCACAGCATTACCAATCTGCAATTGGTCACATGGAACTTGTTAGTACAATTTAACTTATGTACACTGACAGTTGTAACTCGCTAGATATCACTTACAATTATTCCTTTAAGATTGATAAGAGTCTTTTTCTCAAGCTTATTAAGCTGAAGAATTGCATGTGCCAATTGAGGTACGTAATGCCCCGCGTAACTCTCACCAGAAATGTAAAAATCTCTGTTCTTGTACTCGGGAAATCTCTCGAGCCAATTGAGTAAAAACACAACATTATCATTAGCGGTTCTACTATCTCCAGTTGTGTTGAGATCACTGCTTGTATTTGTATATGAAAATCCTACTCCAGCAGGAGACTCCAAAAACAACACATTGGCAGCTAATTCAATAGGAGAATTAATTAGTACTCTATACTCAGAGTTGAGAATTTCTCAAATTATTTCTAAACGTTATACAAAAAGAAATAAAAAGAGAATTTCTCTTACCATGGTTCCACGCATAACGATTCCTGTGTAATGTTTTTCCATCACTATTAACTCTAAATGGTCCAAGTTCCTCCATTGCACCATATGCAATTGAAGAACAACCAGGACCTGCAGAAAGAAAAATATGTTGTATATAGTATGACACAATTAAATATAGACACAAATGTTGTATGTAATACCTCCATTAAGCCAAAGAAGCAAAGGCAATGCGTTGGAATTCTCAGCTTCAGTGAAGTAATAATACAAAGCACGACCAGCAGATTGATTGACAGTAACATAACCACCATATTGTTGAAACTTCACTGGTGGTTGTCCAGGCAATTTGTTGATCCAATCTTTTGCTTTTAATCCCTCCTGTGGAAGAATAACTTTGTCTAATTCTACATTTTCAACGCCTGCTGCCTTATAATAACTCTTGTAAAACGCTGAATTCTTTTGCTTGGCCTTGTAAAACTTGCCAAGGACATCACCTTGCTTCTTACCAAGGGTTGAAGCAACAAAATTTGACAAAAACAGAAGGAAGAAGAAACTAATTTTTCCCATGGTTGTGTGTCTTTTAATTTACTATTGAAAAGTAGAGTCAAGGGAAAGGGTATTTATCATGGAATTGTGTGATTATGATCCAAGATTTGATTCCCATACCATTTCGAAGCCAAATCAAATTGGAGTTGTTAGTGGGATTATGATATAACTTTCTTTAATTATGCATCAGGCCAAATATAGTTGTTGATTTCTTCAACTGAATAATTTTACTATTTTAAATATAAGAAATTGACAATTACTTGTATGAAATTAAAGAATAGTGTAATATGCATAATTTTTTACCAAATATAGTTCTAATGTAGCCTGATTGGAAAAGAATGGTTAGAAAAAATCTGATGGAGCATCAGCACTCACATACGTATGATATTAGTAATTTAGTATATACCCGAGTTGTATTTTTTCTCATAATTATGAAAATTTCACAGTTTGTGAAAAATTATTAAAACCTTTTCAATTCTTATAATTTTGTCAAATAAGTAAATCATAATTCATAAATAAGGTATCAATAATCGAAATATCTTAAGATGATCATAAAATATCATATATTTTTATGTTCCTTTTTATAAATAATTGTTTGTAATTATATTTTATTACAAAATCTTCTAGAGGTATGTCTTTAGTCCATGCCTCTTTGTTTCAATGGTTATTATGCTAGATGTCAAATAGCTAGTGAATAGAGATTATCTAATTTTATCATTGTTTTGTATCTTGAAGATCTTGATAGTTATTTTTTTTATTAAATTGACTCATATAGACTTTCATGATTCGGGCATTTCTGATAACAATAGAAACAAATGCAAATTGTGATTCTTGTAGACGTGTTGTTTAGTTTTGCTAATTTCGTTTTAATTATTTTGTGGGAAATCTTTGGGATTCAATGAATGAAGGAAAAGGGAAGGTTTGTGGTGATAGTGATGACGGGCAAATGGTGGTGATATTAATGGTGGCGAGAGATAAAAGGAGAAAGAAGACAATTTTTTTTAAAGAAATACTTCTTTTTGGCTTTTCATGCTCTTAGGGAAAGGGTGTTGCACACATTTTACCACATTAGTTATTTGTGTTTAACGAATACATTTTTAATAATGTTAAAGTGTCTAATGGGAACAAACCTTAGTTAAAATATCAAAGTAAAAAGAATTGTGGCTAATTTGTTGGACCTTTTATGTGTTTGGCCTTTACATTTCAACTGAAATGAATTGAATTGTCAATTTTTTTCCTCTAAATTTGTTTTGTAGAGATCCTTTCCTTGATTTTATAGTTTAATTTTTGTATGTCAATCAGGTAATTATAATTCAAATACTTTTTTCTAATAAAGTAGTAAACAAATGAATATCTCAATGATAGTATATGGATTTGCTACCTAATACTCTTTACTATAGAAAGTACAAATGATTTAAGAATTTTTTGTTAATTTATCAAATGATTATTATACTCTTTTTATTTTTTAGTGATAACATACTAAGCAATTATGTTAATCAGACTTTTGAGAGAAAATCTATTTGGCATGACCTATAGAAATAGGAATAACGCTTTCAATGTTTATTTTTTAATTTTCACTTGATAGTCAAAATTATTTTATATGACTATTTTGAGTTTTAAAATATCATAGTATATTACCCTCTCAAATATTATACATATTCCAAAATCCTACATTTTAAGGGTGTATTGTGAATAGAGCTTCCGTGAATAGTATAGTTATATATGATTTAAATTTCCAAATCTTTGAGTCCCAAAAATTTTAATAGTGAATTTTATTTTATTAGTTCTTAGACAATATTAAGATTATTAAAAAATATAAAATTTAATTAAAAGAAAGAAATATAAACTACTTAATTTAACAAAATATTTTAAAACTTTAAACTAAATTGTTCAAAACATCGTATTAATTAATAAAAATATTTTTTTATATTAAGATCCAAGATAATTGAAAACACATAATTAATGTCCAAGATAATTGAAAACACATAATTAATGTCTTATTAACTTGAAATAATTCTTATTATTATAAATATTAAAAGCATGAAGATCCTTAATAATGCTGTTTGAACTTTTTGTCGTTCATTAAAAGACACCGCTTTAAATAAAATTATTTTTTCACCATTTTCATTCAATTATTATAACATCATTTAGTGAAATTAAATATTTACTTAAATGGAAGATTTATTCCAAAAAGGGGCCAAAAAAAATGTCCACAAAAATAGTAAAAATCATCTCCAAAAATAGGAGAAAGAATATCCAAAAACAGATAAACAATGTGTAGCGATTTGTTCCCTTCATTAAAGAAATGCCAACGGAGGAGAATTTGGGGTCGGAAGACTTTTTCGTAGTATTTGGATTTACCAAACCTAGTCTAGATTTGGATGAAATCGGAGTCTTTAAGGTGCAGGGAAATATAATAACAATCGGGTGAATTATTTATGATTTTGATTACATGAGTAGTTAGATAACTCGTTAAGGAACCCGTACGACTTTACAGAATTGAATTTGGGTAAGCAAAACTCCCGAAATCGATCTTAGCATTAAGGGTATTTTCTGAGCGTCGTTGGTTAGAGGCGTGTGGTGAAATGGGGATTTTGGAGTTCTTTAAATAGCTCATTATTTCGTGCAAGCCGCTTTGGCGCTACTTTTGGTCGCTCTGGCGGTGCCGTTGTAGCGGGGTGGCGGCGGCTGTGGCGGGTTCGACGTGACTTAAGGTTGTTAATAAACTCCTAAACGACCTTATTATGCACTTTTCAACTTTTAGAGCTAAGGAACGAACCCCATGCGATTCCTACTTATTTTTCACCATTCTTGAGGCTAAAGTAAGTTTTTCACTCCCCGAATTAGTTTTTCGATCCGTAGAACGTAATAGAATGGGTGAATATTGATGGGGGAGAATTTTGTTATAGATTTTATGGTGGAAACAACCCTAATTTGGATAATTTGGATCATGGATTTGATCTAGGATTCATAGAATTGTTAGTAATTCATGTAATTAGTGACAGTTCATTGATTCCCGTATTATATTGATTGTTTGTAAACCAAGAACAAGTGGAACGAATCCGGAAAGGGAAAGATCAAGTTTCTTAGGGTTTCAAGCTTGTTTCGAGGTAGGTGATGGCTGTGATTCTATGATTGTGTGATGTATGTTTGTTCTTGCTTCATTATGATACATGTATGTATGTATATGAATGTCGCATTATTGATCACACTTGTTGTAAATGAGATAGATGAATGATGGTTACTATGAAATCATGACTTAATTGTATGATCTTGATGATATACTTGTTATTGTGATTGTGGTGTGTTGAATGGATTGGTTGCCACGTTCCGACATAACTAACTTGGATCGTTTGCCACGTTCTGGCATAATTATGGGATCGGTTGCCACGTTCCGGCATAATCATTGGATCGGGTACCACGTTTCGGTATGCTAACTGTTTGGGTTTGGGTTCCTTGAGAGGACCAATGACTTGTCATAATTGTGTATCTTGAGAAAATGTGAAGTTGTTCGTTATTTCGTATATGTTGATGATATTGTATATGTTCGATATGTGCATGTGTTTATAATGTTGTATTGACTTGCTTATGTTACCCTTATTAGGATAGCCGTGTGATTCTACCAGTACATTGTTGTTGTGTACTGATACTGCACTTCCTCTTATTTTGTTGAGTACATGGCATCTTCAAGCGGCTACTGACAGGCCTCGCTTAGTAGATCAGTAATCGTCGTTCGAATTCAAGGGTGAGCAAATTCTTCTGGACTGTCATGTACACTCCTTTCGTCTATGTCCACATTTCAGACTTAGACAATTCTATTAGTTATTAGTACATTAGTTGGGGTTGTATCCCTTCTTGTTTAGACTTGGTTCATTGTTAGATGTTTTGGTACATTGGCTTTCAGGTTCTAGGCATTACTTCCGCATTGTTAGTTTTTTATTGTTAGACTTTTGTTAGAGTTTATGGGAACTCTATTTCTTTACTTAGTATTTTCCTACTTTCGTATACTTAAAATGCCTTAGTTTTGGTTTAGTTTCTTGGTTTGAGTTGTAATAGTGGTTCTCCCATCGGAGAGTTAGTGTGGGTGCCAATCACGACATTCTGGGTCATGACAAAGTTAGTATCAGAGCCTAGGTTTGTTGATCTCGATGTACCAAAATAAGTCTAGTAAAGTATCGCGAAACGGTATGAGGACGCCTTTACTTTTCTCCGAGTGGCTATAGGACCTTAGGAAATCTCTCTATTTTCTCTTGTCTCCTTTCGTGCTATAACTTGATTCCAATTCGTATCTACCTCCTTCACTCTTCTGTCCGCAGATGGTTAATACTAGATACAACGGCGTCAGTCCCGTAGCTCCCGTCAATGCTCCCGCTGAGGAATCTGTTGCGACAGGTCGCGATCGAGGCAGGGGTAGAGGCTTTGGATGAATAGCGCCTGCTGGGAATGGAGATTCTGTTAAGAATGCTGTTGTGAATACCCTCATGCGCATCATGAAGAGATTGAAGAGGAGAATGTTGAGGATGTGGGACAAGATGAGGAGGTGCATGCTGAGTCCCCCCTTATACCAGTGTTAGCTCGACATATCATGTCATTCTTGAAGGGGTTGGTTGGTTCTGGAGTGCTTCCTTCTGCTCAAGCAACTCAAGCTCCTACTAATCGTCATGTTGCTAGCACTGCTCCCAAGGTGGGTGGGACCGGAGGTAATGATACTTTCTTATGTCCTTTGTTGGGTTCTGTTATGACCGGTAACGAGCATGAAATGTTGACTAAGTTTTTGAAGCTAAAGCCTCATGTGTTTCTTGGTTCTGAGAATAATGATGCTTATAAGTTCATCTTAGATTGTTATGAGAGGCTTCATAGGTTGGGAATTGTCCATCAGCATGTGGTTGAGTTTGTGTCCTTTCAACTTCAAGGTGAGGCTAAGCAGTGGTGGAGAGCTTATATGGAATGCAGATCTTCTACTTTACCTCCACTTACTTAGACCCAATTTCATGCTCTGTTTCTAGAAAAGTATGTACCTA